CATCCTGTTCCTTTTCACTCTACAGTCAAGGTGTTCCTTCCTCAACCTCATGGCCCATGTAATTCAGATCTGTAGGTCAGAACTTGTGTGCTTGTTGATTTCATTCATGTCTCACACTGAATAGAGTGTCTCCCGAGCATCTTAAACTCAGTACCCCTCAAACTGATCTTACAACTTTCCTTCAGTACATCCTATTCATTCTATCTCTAACGTAGGTATCAATTGTACCCACTCTTTCTCCATCTCTTTTGCTACCACTCTTGTTTGAGCTAACAACATCTCTCCCACTGAACTTGCCCTGGCCATCTTTCCCCCTGATCTGCTTCTTAACCTGCCCCTCAACTCAGTTCTCCATTGAACAGCCACAGTAATCCACCTAAGCTGCCAAGCAAATCATAGTAGTGTAAACGGGTGGTCCCTAGGAAAAGAGGAAGTTCCAGGTTCACTGCCCCACCCAGAATGAGGGTGGAGCTGAGCAGAGAAAAAGGAGAGAAGAGAAGGAATCTGAGAAAAGAGAAGGAAGCTGGATGGAGAATAAGAAGAAGACCTGAGGAAGCCACAAGGAGCAGCAAGCATGTGATGAAGAAACTGTGCTTGTTTCCTGGCCCTGGACTGGTTAAGGCAGATGTGGGTGAGATCCCTGTAGGGAGGTGACTGTGGCAGTGTTTATATTCATTTTGATTTTGCTCTCTTCCTCCCAGATTTGTCTGGCCATTTCTGACCCTCTTCTATGGGTCCCGACCAGAAGATGCTTTCGGGCCTTGCTTTGGGCCAATCCCTTTTGGGTGGACTTTTGCCCACGAGGGGATGGGTAACTTCCGGTGTTTGATTTAGAAGTTATATTCTTTGTGTTCCATATTGTATACTTACTGTATTAAAGTCCCTTTTTATTAAAGCTTTATATGTTTTGTCTTGATGCGGCAGATGACAGAATCCACAGACAGGCAACCCAATTCACATTGGGGTACCCTGTAACAGTAGTTCCATACATAAATTCCTCAATGCCATTTATCGTATTCAGAATGAAATCAGTGACATACCAGGACCTGACCCTATGTACACCTGTGTCAGCCACTGTGTTCAGCCATTATCTTACCCATCAATTTGTTACAGGGCATGGAGGGGGCACCCCTGAACCCCCAAACCTGCCTGTTTTAAATAGGTTCTGCCATTCACCTCATCAAGACAAAACATATAAGACTTTAATGAAAAGCAACTTTTTTCTAATAATAGTTTATTTTTACTATTTTCTGCATTTTTCCATCTCAGTTGTAATCCCCTTGGGCTTCCCATCACCAAATCACCCATGTGCCATCACCATAGTCCAGTGCATTTCCCTCGCTCAACCGTTTTTGATCCCATTCCCCGCTCCACCCCTGTAAAATGTCTCTGGTATATAGCTGTTCATTGTTATCATTTTCTCACCTGGTCCATTATATTCCAGTATTTTTTCTTTTCTTTCTGGCTTATTTCACTAAGCATGATCTTTTCCAGCTCCATCCATGTTGCTGCAAAAGGCATGTGTTTGTTTGTTTGTTTGTTTGCTGAGTAATATTCCATCGTGTATATGTACCACATCTTTTTAATCCAGTCATCCACTTTTGGGCATTTGGGTTGTTTCCATGTCTTTCTAACTGTAAATAAAGCAGCAATAAACATGGGGGGGGGGCAGGTATCTTTTTGAAGCAGTGTTTTTGTATCTTTGGGTAGATACCTAGGAGTGGGATTGCTGGGTCCTATGGAAACCCCATGTTTAGCAGTTTGAGGAACCCCCAAACAGTTTTCCACAGTGGTAGTACTAGTTTGCATTTCCACCAGCAGTGCAGGAGAGTTCCGAAAAGAAACTTTAATATAGTGAGGATACAACACAGAAGACAATTCATATAACTTCTAAATCAAACACCTGAAGTTTCCCATCCCCTCATGGGCAAAAGTCCACCCAAAAGTGGTTGGTCCAAAGCAAGGCCTAAAAGCCTGACACAAGACTAAAGCATCTTCTGGTCAGGACCCAGAGAAGAGGGTCCGAAATGGCCAGACAAGTCTGGGAGGAAGAGAGCACAATCAAAACCTCCCCATGGGTCTCTCACCCACATCTCTTTCAATCAGTCCAGGACCATGAAACAAGCATGGTTTCTTCACATGTCTCCCTTTGCTCCATGTGGCTTCTCCTTCTGGCTCTCTATCCTGCTTCCTTTTTCAGATTCCTTCTCTTCTCTGCTCAGCTCCACCCTCGTTCTGGTTGGGGCAGGGAACCTAGAACTTTCCCTTTTCCTAGGGACCACCCTGTTACATTTCCATTTCTCCTCTCCTTTGGTCACACGGGGTAATTGCACTCATACCTTTGAAGCAAAGATAGGGCCAGATGATTAGTTTTAGACTCTAAATTCAAGCAAATGTAACCTGAGAGTTGGTACATGACCATCAATGCACCTGCTGGGATTGGGGAAACCACTATTTTATGGTGGTGCCAGAAGATAGTGGCAACCTGAATTTCTGGTACTACAGGTAGGAGAATCACTTTGGAAGTCCATCCATAACTACAGGTAACTTTTGATGAGTGAAAAATAAGCTTCTGTTGGGAGCAAAAGACAGCCCATCCTGGCTGATCAGCACATAGCCCCTCTTTTCAGTGAGGTTGGGATCCTGATCTCAGCTCCTGAACTCCATGAAGCTCTTTCACCCTTCAGAGTCTTGCCCATCCTTTCTCCTCTGCCTGAGGGCCTTTACCTCTAGTCCTTATTCTTCATTGACTCCGCATGGAGAACACATTAAGGAAAGCTAAAAGCTTAGTCTGGAAGAGTCTATGGGTTGGGAGAAGAGAGTGGGGATGTTGACCCACCTACTTGACTGGCACTTACTTACCACCGGCTTTGCTAAGTGTCAGTCTCTGTGCGGGGACAATAAGGTGAATTATTGTCCCTGATAAAGAGCTCATAGACTGGGAGGGAGGACCCCCAAAATGCAGGAGGAATGGGGGAAGTTACAGGAATCAACATATTGTGGCAGAAGAGATAAGGAAAGGAAGACTTAGAAGAAGTCAATGAATTCAGAGAGGTGCTAAGAAGCACCTTGCTGTGGGCCCATGAGCACATGTGGAGGGGAAGAAGGAACAACGCTGAACTTGTTTTTTTAAGAGATTCTTTCTTTCTTTATTTATTTATGTACACAAGAACTGGGGTGGGTGGGAAGGTGAGGGGATTCACCGGAGACAGAGCAGGGAGCAGAACAGGCAGATCTACAAAGTACACTGCTGAGGGGAACAGCAGGAAGACAGGAGAGGTCTGCTGTGGCTTGTGGGTCACCTCTTTCCCCTGGGGATAGAAGTCAGGCTGCCAGGGCTCCAGATAGCTTCATAGTGCTGAGACTTAACCCCTGCACCACAAGGGAGGCACAGTGCTGAACTTTTAAAAACAATCACTACTGCCTCTTGCAGAGTGCCAAGAATTTCTATGCACGTTAGTTCCAATCTGTTCCAAAGTGAGGATCATCTCCCTCATTTTACACATGATGAAAACCAAAGATGAGAGTTTGGTCCACATCATGTATCAACACAGGCTAGATTAGATCCCAGGCCTGCTGGCTTTGGAGTCCATGCTTTCGTCCTTACCATAGGGGCAAGACAGAAGGACCCTGCATGCAGTGCTCAGCCTGCTAGAATTTTCTGAACCATGGAGAAAGAAAAAATTTCAATACTGTAAGAGGAGGGAATCCTTCCTTTCTTGTAGAATTCCTCTTTAAAAACAGAAGCAAAGAGCAAAGTTTTTCTTTTGTTTTCTCAACAAGGACAACAAAGTGTCCTTGTTTTATATTAGGCTTTGAAAAATTATCAAATAACTTGTTAATTATTCACAAAAAAAAAACTGTCAATAAATAAATCCCCAAATTAGAAAGAATTCCTGGGTGGCCCAAGGGCAGGCATGAGCATGATTTTGAAGGCAATGACACTCATGGTCAATAACGCTGGGTGTGGTAGGGCAAGACTGGGTGGTCACTGGCTGGAAAGGAAGATGTGAGTGAAACTTGACAGAGAGAGACAAGAACGGTAACTTTGGTGTGTTCAAATATCATCACAAAGTTAAACATTAATCAAGAGACCTTCTTTCTCATCAGCCGAGTAACAGCTGCTTCACTCGGGCTTACAATATATTTATCTGTGATCTTTGGAAGCATCTGAGGGATGGGAATGTGACAGAGAAGAGCAGTCTGTGGGGAATTTGTTATTTTCCAAGCTGGCTTCTATTACTATATATTGTCAATAACTAGGGATTTTTAATAAGAATGAAATTTGGAAAGAGGAGGAAACGTGAGAGGTGGAAGGAAAGGTAGAGGGAGGAGAGGTGAGGAGACAGTGGACAGAAGCATGGATAGAAATACGTCTGTGATGGGGCTGGATGTGAGGTCTCACTGAGGTGACAGCTGACCAAGGCTTCCTTAAGACTTGAAATAGGTGGCATTAATCTGACCTTTCTACCCATGGTGACAATACTTGCAGAGGCTCAAGCTGAAATTCTGGGGTCACCAACAATGAGTGTATACTGCTGAGTAAGTGAACTGGCCTCCAGACAGCACCGAGAAAAAGGCAATTCTCAGAACCCATCTTCTTCAGAAATCATCAACAATTATTGAAAACAAGATTATCCATACCCACTGACGTCAGGGCACTGCGAAGGTGCTCCTTTCAGTGACAGGGGCTGAATAGATGTCCCACTGGACTCTGCAAGGAATGGGCCCCCCAGAGCCCAGGGGGCTCCACAGTGGTGTCTTAGGCATGCAGATAGTGCCTTCTCATCCTCAGCTGTGAGCAGTGTGGCCTGGGCAGCCTCTTCTTTTTTGAAGAACAAAGCACGTGCTCACTGTTTATGTAGTATCCCACCAACCCTGCAGCTGAGACAGTCCAGTTCTGTTCACGGCTAGAGGCCCTCTTAGAGGCTGTGCCTGCTCTGGTCTCCAGTGGGGCAGAGATGGTCTCAAGATCGAGATAACAGCCGGTCTCCAAAGCTTCAAACTGGGCCATACAAGCCCAGGTTGCGGGCTGCTTGGGAGATCCTGGGTGCTTTCCTCTGGGGAAATGGGTAGTGAGCTGGTTTTCCAGACCTGTGTGGGGCCCTTCTGGCAGGAGGGCAAAGGCTGACCTTTGAAGCAGTGCCCACAGCCTCTGTTTGGGGACTATCCACCTGACAGGCTCCCTGAGTTCCCGGCTGAGTCATCTGACCACTCTCAAACACTCCCTTGTCTCCTTCCTGAGGGAGCCTTTGCTCCGATGCCATGTTGTGTTTTGCTTGATGGCCGGATTCCTGAGGGAAAATCTGGACCAAGCGGTGCATCTCAAGGTGCTGGTGCCAGGGGGACTCTGTCACTTGAAGACAGCCTCCGCCGGCCTCCTCCGCTGTCCCTTCCGCCTCAGGACCCGCCTCTTCCGGGCCCAGCGAGCGCCTCCTCTCGTTAATCCAAACACTGCTGACCATGGCCTCTGTGGGGGCTGCCGTGTTCTCTCCTGAGAAAGCAAGGCACAGAGGCATCACAGAGGAAGGTATGTGGGCTTCTCTTATTTGGGGGTCTTGGAGCTTTCAGGAAGGCTTTGCCCCAGACATTGAAAGGCCAGGTACCCATGGCGGATGCATATATAATGGATACATGCTTGACCCTACTCAAACTCTCTGAAGGGACACACACACACACAGGGGACACACACACCACACACACACACACATCAAACTTACAAAACCACCGTGCTCTCTCACAAACACAAATGATACATTCCTCCACCTAATATTTCTTGAGCATGTATGTACCAGGCGTGACTAATTCTAGCAGTAAACATGGAGACAAAATTCCCACCTTCACGAATGTGTCTGAAAGGATTGGAAAAACAGGCCAGCGAATATATAATGCAATTTCAGATGGTGACCAAGGCCGTGGAATAAGGCCCAGGCATGTTAGAGGCTAATAATAAACGTCAGTATTTGGAGGGACGGAGGGAGGGAGACCTAGGATGTACTGGGACCATCCTTTTGGGCTGAAAGAATAAGAAGGGGGAAGAGCAAGTGGGCATATGGGATCACCCCTACACACCCCTACACAATGTGGATTCTCCCATTGCTCTGAGATTATAATGGGATTCCCAGCCAAGATGGAAGTGGGTGGCACTGCGTTTGAGGACTGCCACAATCCTGCCCCCATCCCACAGACACTGCACTGCGCCCGAAGCCACTGTTCTACAAAAGCTTCAGGGTGAGGTTGCAGGCTGGTGGCTCTTCTTTCTCAGGACCGTGTTGGTATAACCTTGTGGAACACAATTATAGGTTATCAACTCTTGGGGGTTGCAGGGTGGTGAGAATGGCCAAAGGCATTTTCCTATTAGCGGGTCTGTTTCCAGCCGTGTATTTCAATAGATCTGCCTGTTCTGCTCCCTGATCTGTCCCTGATGAGTTTTCTCACCCCCCACACCTCTTGCCTACATCCCAGTTCTTCGACAGAGTAAATAAGATTGCCATTTGGGGAAGGGACATTTTGAATTCCTCCTTCATTTCTCTCTTGGATCAAGGAATGGAACGGAGATCTCCCAGCAGGACTCTTGAGAATGCTAAATGAAATGTACATAGAAAAACCCAGCTCAGACAGGAAATCCCACCACTAGTCCCCTTCTACAAGAGTCATGCATGGCCTGAATGTGACAAAGTATATGCCATGGAACACCAACCACCAACCAGTGTGATGGAGTTTCATTGACTTGGAAGCAGTTCAAGACTTTGGAGCCCTTATGGGGCAGCAGGGACCTCATTTCTGGAACCTAAGTCCTTTCCATGTTGCTGGGACATGAAGCAGGCTAAATCAGGTATTCAATAAGCTCCCAGGATACCTGACCTTTCCACTGTGTCCCAAATGTCTCAAGACATGGAAATCAAGTTTTAATTGGAGCGCATCTCAGTGATGACTCTATCCTCCTGGATCTCTGGTAGCACTGGATCAGTGCCTTCAAACTCCTCTCTTCAGTCTTTACTTGACAACACTAATCTCCAGATTTTCTTCCCCCATTTAAGAAAACATTTCATTGTGGTGCAGCATATGTAACGTTGAGTGTACTGCCTTAACCATGTTCAGCTGGCCAGCTCTGTGGTGTTACGTAACTCCACATGGCTGTATAACCAAGCTCCAGAACTTTTTCCTTTTCCCAAACTAAAACTCTATACCCATGAAACATAGCTGTCCATCTCCCCTCTCTCTGTGCCTGACAACCATCTTCCTACTTTCTGTCTCTTCAAATTTGACTGTGCCGGGTACTGCCTAGAAGTGGACTCACACATATTTGTCTTTTTGTGCCTGGCTCCTTTCACTTAACATAATATACTCAAGGTTTGTCTGTGTCCTAGCCTGTGTCAGAATTCCCTTTCCTTTTTTAAGGCCAAGTAATATTCCTCTTCCTCATTTTAACTGCTATCTTCTCTAGCTTCTTTTCTTCTGCTCCTTCTTTAAATATTTGATTACCCCAGAATTCTAGTTTTCTTCCCAGCCTCCGATCACTTAACACACTGATCCTCCACAGTTTTATCCATGCATGCTCTTCAGTTACACCTACATGCTGTGACCTCAAATCTTTCTCTTCAGATTTCTCTCCTGAGGTTCAGACTCATCGGAAGTTCCACAGACAACTGTCTCCAATGTAGCATGTTTACAAAGTCCCTCTTTCCCTACCAGAAATCTCTTTCTCCTGATTTCCCCCACCTCCATCAATGGTAACACCACCTTCCCTGAGGCTGAAGTGCAGGCAGAATGGCCCTTTGGTCTCCACAGTGTCCTTTTCACCTTATTTTTATAACCCCACTCTGATTTCTCTCTGGGGAAACCTTATGCCTGACGCCCAGTCCAAGTCTTACAGGTCCTTTGTAGCTCCGACTCGTGAGACATAGTGACCTGGTCCTCAATCGGCCCATAAGTCCCTGGGGAACCTCTAGGTGCTGAATCACTTAGTTCCTGCAGCAACTACCTTTGGCTACACAGTTTTTTGACTGCAGGTGAGGAAACTGAGGCATGGGGACTTTGCACACTTCTGCAAAGCTGCCCACAGCAAATAAATGGCAGCGCTTGGAGCAAGTACATGTCCACTCCAGCCATCGCTTCTGACAGTTACAGAAAGAATGTAGAATTGCAGCTTGCTACAGTGTCCTGACCTGGCAGTCAGACGTCTTCAGGGAGCCCGGGGCTGCTCCTTGGAGGGCCTTGCCATAGCCTATCATCTGGCAGTGGTGGAGAAGGGAGGAGGGAGTGTCAGAGGCAGTAGAAAGGGCCAGCAGGGAGGGGGCAGGGCTCGGTGAGCGCTGAGGGGCATGCTGAGTGGGGGCATCACTGATACTTTCCAAACACTGAGTGGAATAGTGGGTGTGTTAAGCAACGCACTCCCGTTGGAGAGGGTTAATGTAATGTTGGCTGAGTGATGAGGAATAAACACCTTGAGGATGGAATAGGTTTAGGGGTATTTCTGTGTATGCCCTGCAAAGATGGGCTATAGAGCAGATGAATCCCACTGAGTGGCAAAGGGCTCAGTGAGAGGACATGGGCGTCTTCAGTCCAGACATTTTGGAAACTTCTGTTTCCAAAAGACACACACTTCCTGTCCCAGACAGTGAGGTTCCTCTGGGCTTGAGGCCCTCCAGCCTGGGCGGCTGGGCCACTTGGCCAGTTCTCGGAGTTATACAAATAGCAGAGAGGCACTGTTAGAAGGCGGAGGCTGCTAGGATCTGACCATGTTTGCTTACTGAGCCCTGTGTTCCTGACGCCATCCTGGCTGAAACTGAATTCCTGCGGGGAAGAGGCTTGGCCCCTTGAGGAGGGGGCTTTCTTGTCTCACCTGGGGTCCCTGGCTACCACACGGGCTGGAGGAGCAAGCTCTGGGAGCCGGGATTCCTGTGGTTCCCCACGTCTTGGGCTACCTCTGACCAGTGCCCAGGCTTGGAATCGCCGTGCCTGTTCCCTGTTCAAGGGAGCCAGTTCCTCTGGTTTCCCAGAGTGCCTTGTTGAGACCCAGCCAAGAAGCAGAGCTCCCATACCCTCACCAGGCCCAGCCGCTGGGCCAAACCCCCCTCACCAGGTGGACCAGTCTGGTAAGGTGGGAACAGGAGAGCAGAGACCTGAGCAGTGCTCTACCACCAGGTTCCTGGTTAGCCGCCTGGCTCAGCTAGCTGGTGCCCGAGCCAGACAGGACTGCCCAGACCCAGCCTCCCTCCCGCCCTGAGCCACTACGCTGATTCCAGAGCCTGTGAGCTCTGGCCCTGCCTGCCTGCAGCTCAGCTGCCCATTCTGCCCACAGCCAGCCCTCTCCCATCTCATCTGCCCCAGTACCTGCCAGCCTTACCTTTTGGAAACACCACCAGGTGGGTCTGGGACCTCTGCTGCCGTCTCAGGCCTTCATACTGGGCTCGGAGGAGCTGGATGCTGAGCAGGGGTCCGTTCCCCACGGCCTGAGGTCCAGAGCCCTCAGCCATGAAGGGAGACCCCAGCTGCCAGAAATGGGGCAGGGCAGGGCACGGGCAGGACAACCCCTTCATCCGGACCAGATCCGGGAGAAAAGTAAACACAGGTTGGGGGGGGTTTGGCAAGGGCAGCCAAGGGAGGGTGGCAGGGGTGAGGGAGGGGGGTGAGGGAGGTCAGGAGGGAAAGTGGAGAGGTGAGGGGGAGGGAGGAGGAGAAGGAAAGTGGAGAAGGGGGGAAGTTGGACAGGGAGAGTTGGGACAAGAAGAAAAGGGGGAAGAATGTCAGGTCTAGTAGAAAGGTGGGGAGGAGGAAAAATAAATGTGGAAAGGAGTGAGGTCGTATAAGGGGTGGGTAAGGGGAGAAGCAGAAGTCCAAGGCGGGAGGAAAAGGGTGTCTGAGGGGACAGAAAAAGTGGAGGAAGGAAGCGATGGTGGCAGGGGAATTAATGGGTGAGAGAAGTGGGAAGAGAAGGGGCAGGAGAGGCTGAGGGGCAGGGCCGGAGGGGGCGCACAGCCGGAGAGAACAGCCAGCACGGCTGCTCAGAGACCCCGAGCCCAAGGAGTCGCCTCAGTCCTGTTCTAGTAGCTCAGTCCTAAAGTTTAGGATCCAGTTCTGAAAGCTCCCCACAGTGCTCTGGTTTCCTGGCAGCTGAAGCTGATGCCAGGGAATGCCCAGCGCCTGCTCCACGCACGCCTGGCGAATGGAGCCCTGTGCTCCTCAGCAAAGCCGCCCGTGGGCTTGCACTCGGCAGAAGGAACACTCACAAAGCTGGAGCCTGGGGAGGTGCCCGCTGCAGCCATGCCCGAGGGAAACCCCGTAGCTGGTGCCCCCTACGTCCCTACTCACCCCACACGCACACCCCAGGAGAAAGCCAGCCCCAGTCAGCAGTGGAGACGACTGAGCCCACTGAGCTGAGGCCCCTAGAGAGCCCCCCTCGTTGGCATTCGATGCAAACCTGGTCTCAGCATTTCCCAGCTGAACAGTAAGTAAAGTAGGTGTTTACCTTACTCACAGCTAGGCGTGTCCTTGCCCTCTGCCCGCCAACCACAGGCTCCTGGTATCTTTTTTGAATTCTAGGCGGCCCCTCTCTTGTGTCATTTGATCATCAAGCACAGAGCTATTAAGTTAACTAATTACTTAGTAAACCCCTGAGTAGAAGCTGCATCTAGGAGACTCGTTGGAGATTAACTAGACGGGTGTAGTTAATTTAGACATGAGGCGGTGAGAGATACGTGGGAAATCTTTCATGAACGTTTTCATTTGCTAAGATTACTATAACAAATCGGTTGCTTAGGCAATAGCAACTGACTGTCTCACAGCTCCGGGAGCTTGAAGTTCAAGATCAAAGTGTTAGCAAGGTTGATTCTTCCTGGGAGCCACTTCTTACCTTGCTCTGGAGGTTTGTTGGGAAACGATGGCACTCTTGCCTTAGAAAACATTTGATTAGGCCTCCTTCATGGCACAGGGGTTCGTGTCTCGGCACTAGCAAGCTATTGCCAGCCACTGGTGCATCTCCTTGCATCTCCTTGGTCTAGGGTGGGGGTGGGGTCCACAAACAGTTTGGACAAAGCAGTTTGTCCAGGACCTCGTTTGGCCCAGAAGACTCACAGGAAAACCCCATGCATGCCCATTACCAACTTATTCTCCCTTCCCCTAGGTCCTCAGTCCCTCTCAATCATTAATCTACTTTCTGTGGATTTGCCTCTTCCGGATGTCACATATAAATGGAACCATGGAACATGTGACCTTTTGTGTTCTGACGTCCTTCACTTGGCATAAAGTTTCCAAGGTTCATCGGTATGGCAGCATGTATTAGCACTTCATGACTTCTGTGGTTGAATAATATTCCATTGTGGAAGCTAATCACCTTTTGTTTACCTATTCAGAGGTTGATAGACATTTTGGCGGTTAATAGCACTGCTGGGAATGGAGCTGACAGGACTCCATGTGTGGGTTTTTGTTTGAATACCTGTTTCAGTTCCTTGGGCTACTCTATGTGCTTGGGATAGAATTGCTGAGTCACAGGATTATTGTTTGTTCTCATTGCACAACTTCCTTGGCTGAAACTGTGTAGCCTTGTGATAATAGATTTCTGCACTGTGGGCTGTGGTTTTTGTAGACAGCAAAGAGCTCTGACCTACACATGCTACCTTTGCATGGCATTGGTTCATGTGTCAGGCGTTCTGGAAAGCCAGTCATACTTGATGTTTCTTCATGTAGTGACAGAATAGCTCCCTGGCTAGAAACTAGATTTTCAGAGGTGGGGACGTCTCCTGATCTTTTTGTCTTTCTCTTTCTGCACTCTTTTTACTTATTTGATTAAAAATTTTTGTGAAAAAATGCACAAAAGTCCAGATTGGCTTTGCCAGAGTTATCACCTATGCATATACTACTTAATGTAGTGACTATGTGAAGGTTTTGCGTTCCAGAGATAGTTTAGTGATTGTGTGGGTGGAGTCTGTGGCCAGAATGCCTGAGTTTGAAACCTAGCTCAGCTGCTTAATAGTCATGAGATCTTGTCTCTCAATCTCCCTGTGCCTGTTTCCTCATCTGTCATTGAGGCTAATAGCACCTCTGTAAGGATGGAAAATTCTTGGAATTGTGGTTGGCAGGCAGGAGGTTAGCAGGTAAGAGTTTTTTGAATGCAAATTCATAAATTGCTCCAGACCTAGGCAAAGACTTTAGTCAAGATAAGCTAATGATATAAGTTCTTCTAAAGGGAAAGCTTAGTGATTTCAGTAGGGAATAACCTCATAATTAATTCCAAAGATCAAAATATATGTCACAATATTTAAAAATTATTCTAATGAGAAAACAATATACTATAGCAATAACTCCCACTTTTTGGTCTGGAAGTAAAGCTTCCAATCATTTAACATTTATTCACTCAACAAACACTTGGTATTGAACAGACAATATTATCATAAAGCTTGCAGGTCAGTAGTGGGGATAGAAATGAACAATAAGATGAGTAGCAACTGCATAATGACAATTTATGGTAAGAACAAGGTAAAGAGGATACAGCACATAAGTTAACTAATGTGTATAAAGGTACATGGGGAGTTCCTTTATAAATGCACGATTATAAATGTTTCCTATGATGAGTTTCTTTATTCCAATAATTGTTAGAATTATTGTCCCCTCCTCACCCCCCCCCCCAAGGGTCCATCTTGACATTTCCTGCCCTCTAGTGGGAACATTGAGTCATAATCCCAGAAGCAACTGAGAAAGGTTGATAATTTTGCAGTTTCACCTGCTGTTTTAGGGGCTGTGCTGGTGGGGTTGTCTAGCACTGCTCTAGGGAAGCCATGTGACATCAGCGGTCCAGGGACCCGGCGTTCGTGAATTCCTGCGGAGGCTTTCTTAGGGTGCTCGGTGCGTGTGACCTTACAGCAGCCCTGGCAGTGATCAGCAGTCAGTTGCCTGTAAGTGGGGAGTGTGGGGGAGGGAGTGGTGGGAGTTTTACTGAATTGGGCTCCCCAGATAGGCTGATGGGCCCAGCTAATCAGCCTTCACCATAGACCAAGACAAAGTCAGTGAATCCACAGTCAAAGAAAAGAGATGGGAAGTACTTAAACTGCCATGCTGGCAGAGCATCTGAAGAAAGGCTGTTCTGGCTGGCCAGGACGGCTGCCCAGCCCAGCGAGTGTAGAAAGAAGCCCCAGAGAAAGTCCAGGAGGGGCTTATGACTGGGGTACAGTCCAGAGGTAAGGGGAGGGGGCAAAGAGGATTCATCCAAGAGAGAGGGGAGCAGATCTTCTGAAATGCACTGCGGAGGGGAGCAGCAGGCGAGACAGGAGAGGTCTGCTGAGCCAGACCTGGCTGGGAACCGAAATCAGGTCACAACAGTGATAGTCTGAGACTTAACCCGTAGGCCACAGTGAGACTCTTCTCCCTACGTCTTGAATAGCTTTACCTTAAATCTGAGTTAGCCCAGTTCCGGTGTCAAAGAGCCAAACAGGAAGCTTTAATCACGCCATCCATTTCACCCTTGCCAGCCTCCCGAGTAACCACCATTTGTACCCTCACTTTAAAGTTCCTGGCTAATTACCGCAGCATTGACTCTGCACTTCTTTCTGCTACCAAAGTTCATGTTTATTCTACTACCCCATAAACTGTATCTTGTGGTATTAAAATCTGAGCTGAATGGAGATAGATTAGATGTTCTTCCACTTACAACAAGCCCTTTAAAAAATAAGTGGGTCAAACAACTTTAAGCAGGTTATCAGGTATTTTGTGTAAGCTTAAAGTTAACTGAACATGTAGAAGCAATTTGATCGCTTGTTTCATAAACCTTAAGTCTTTCTTGAATCAGCTCATTCTGAATCTGATCATGGATGGAAAACTCGTCCCCTGTGGTTTGGCCCATATTCTTGGGAGGTGCTTTCTGTTTTAACCATGGCAGGTGCTGTCCATTCTAAGGTGTGTTAAACTAGCCCAGGGGCTCTTAATCCTGGCTGCGCTTTAGGAATCCCTTGACTTAACTTTGTAAGTTACTTGGGCAGGGGCTTCACCATGCACCTACTAAATCCAAACACCCGAGGACAGGTCTGGGCATTGGTACTTTAAAACTTGCTAGGGTACCACAGAGGCCAAGAACCACCGAACTCTCGAATCAGTCGGTTATTAAGCTAGTTTTGGAGAAACTTCTTTGTGTTCGCCCTCCTGGAAGTCTTTTGGGAGAGACGCGGCTGCATGGGAGCCTCTGGGCAGGGCCTGGAAGAAGGCAGTTGTGTTAGGTCTCTGCCTTCCTCTGATGCCCAGGCTGGGCATTTAGCCCTGTTATCAAACAAAGCCCCGGACCTGCATCTGCCAACTGCTCCCTGAACCAGAGGCAGGGAGAAGAGATAGTCTCCTCTCCCAGACCCTCAGTTGGACTCACCTGGCACTGCCTGACCTGTAAATGTTCCCAGGGCAAGAGCTTCTGCTTCTGTCTCTGAGCTGCAGGGTTTTGCTCTGCCCTCCTACAGTGGGGGTGTCTGAAAAGCATGTGGATTTGTGCCCAGACTTAGATGTGGGCACTGACCCCAGGGCGGGCGAGGTGGGCTCACTGCAAGTCCTGCTGCCCTCTGCT